ACTGGGTGTCGTGTGCCTGTGGAAGGGAAGCAAGGAGGGAAGCCTGCTGCTTAACAGACTGGTTTCCATCCTTGCCTTTGCATCTGAGAATGCAAAGATTTCTTTTGTCATGGGTTCAGAGCTGGATTTCTCTGGCTCTTCTATCCCACTTCAGTCGGTAATGGCAGCCAATGCATGCCTGTGTAAGCTGTAATCGAAACAGGAAACTCGGTCAGAAAGAGAGGAATTCCCATATATGCCTACACACAAACAGAACTATTTGCTTTAACTCTGTATTTTAAAGTAATACAATTTTTATTCAAGCTTAAAAACCCTTTAAAAGTCTTCACTAGCTAATGGCGGTTTCCTGTGCTGTACTCAATAAAATGGAAGAGAGCATGGCATTTCAGGTTGGTGCAGGTAGGCTCTCAGACAGCGACAAGGAAAAAAACCCCATCTTGTGGGTAAATTTCCACACCACTGTGTTACCCTACACACTGAAATCCAAACAGTTTAATGGACTCTTGGGGAAAACAAACAAGCAACACCGCAGAAAAAAACTAACAACCAACCAAACCCACCAGAAAAACCCTGGAAAAAAAATAATCCCACCAACAACCACTTCTGAAAAAAGAAATGGCAAAAAAATAAAAGATTTTGGAATTGTTAAAGCAAAAGTCTCATGGTGAAAGAGCAAGAAGAAATACCTAAACCAGTAAATTCTTCCTCCATTTTTAAATGTTTGTGATGCTGTTATTCAAGCAGAATACCACTGAATGGCATGGCTTGCCTTTCCAAAATGCATCTTTCAACAAGCATGAGGAAAAAGTCATCAGGAAATCCTGAGTGGAAGTCAAAAGACAAGTGATGTAGTAAGGCTCCTAGGAAATGTGCCATAACGTGCCACTAACATCTGGGATGAATATTTACAAATATACAATTTAAGAAAGAAAACCAAACTAATTTGAGAAAATGTAGTGATACTGTAAAGAAAAAACGTGGAAGTATGCTGAACCAGCTCTTTCAACATCATATGCTCAGGGTCAGGGATTCAAAATCATCTGTGTTCTTCCATAGTAAGGAAAACTTGAAGCGGAAAGCAAAGCAAGAAAAAGAACATGACAGCGAGCCAAACAAAGCATTTAAGAATGTCTGTGATTGCTCCATCAGCAACTGCAGAACAACAGCTACCTCAAACCATGAAAGCATTCAAAGAAAACTTACCTACAAGTGGCTTTCTAGATTTCACATGGGCAAAAGGAAATTTGCCTGTAAGAATATTTTGCTTTTAGTTGACCACATCAAACATACGAGAACTAGAAAGATTTACAGGAAATACTATCAGCTTGAAGTCTGAGAATCAAAACATTCAAGCAGAGCATATGGAAATCAATCTTAAGAAAAGAGTGAATACAAAGGGTGAGTTTCTTGGAGAAATATTCCAAGATTTATTACTGGAAATTGTGACACTGCAAAATGACATGGGAATCCAGAATATCCTTCCAAAGAAAAGTGAGATGGCAAGCAAAATCTTATTTGGGAGTCTCACTTGGCAAGATAATGTTCCCAGGTCGTGATGAAGAAAAATAATAGAGTCATTAGTAGTAATAATAGTAGCAACAATAATAATAGTAATGTTCTTGCAATATCTTTATTGCATCTTTCACTTTAATGTGTTAACCAACATTAAATCTGTTTTCACATTGGTTACAGGTGTTACATAGCTTTTCTGGCTTTGGTCATTTACAAAATAAGGAGTTGCACACTGTGCAATCTTAATGAGAATTAATTGATGTGATAAATTAATGGATTATGCAAAAAGATGAGACCATTGCAAGAAGAAAATTACTTTGATGGAAAATGTGTTTTTGCTATCTGAATAACAAGATTCTCTTGCATTTCAGAGATGTAAAAATATGGGAAAGAAAAAGTATGTAGTGTTTAAAAACATGAAAATATTTTCAAGTGTATTTTTTCTAATGTGGTTAGTCAACATTAACTACAGTATAATAGCTACAGTGAGTGAAAGCAACCGCTCTGAAGGTTCACAGAACTCTTTCCTAGGAATTTTTTATGTACTATTCCTTCTTTATTACTAGTGTGTCAATTTGCTTTGCCATAACCTAAATTTTGAAAGCCCTGTCAAGACTGGTATGTGAGATTTCAGCTTCTATTAGTGGTCTGCTCTATTGCAGGTAGATTTCATGACAAGACACATACAGATTCCATGAACCTGGATTTGTGGGTAAATCCAGAAGTAATGGCATATACGGTAATCATACCTAAAAATAAAACCACCACTCAAATGCAGCTAATTTCATATGAACCTTTTTAGTAATTTTTCAGGAATTTTGTGGGACTTTTGGATAAGTAACATGCATTTATGTAATCAATTTATGGAGTTTTCATTTGGAAATGATGGAAGTTTCCACAGGAACCTGTTTAAACCTTTATTTCCTTCATCCTATCTCAAGTTTCTGGATAGGTTTAACTATGCTAAATACCAAATGTTATTCTGCTAGTTGGTTATTAGTAGACCATCTCAATTTTTCAGTGCTTTCTTTTTAAAATCATTAAGTCTTTCCTGGTCTGTTAACAGCAAATAGTATTATTTCATAGTATGGTTCTTAGTTTTCTGAGGTCTGTCTGCATGGATGTGTGGTGTGGTATCTCTGAATTTTAGTTTTAACTCATACATATAGAACAGGGCCATCAGGACAGGTCATTTCAGCTATCTTGGTTTAGATGTTTGTTAGATAACCTAATATACTTCAGCAAAGCTACTTACTAGCATTAAAGACAGGGTATGTAAGTCACTTACTTAGGTGTCTTGCCTTTTGTCAGAGACATTTGGAACAATGATTTTCAAATGCTTTCCTGTGATTTTAGACATTCTCTAGGTTAAAAACTGTTTTCATAGCACTTGAGGAGGGTGGGGAAAAGGGAGAGGTAAGGTAAAACTCCTATTTATTTACTTTTGTTCTTTAAAAGCATTGAGTGAGAAAAACTGTTATTATCTCTTCAATGGTTATTTATTGCATTGAGACTTTATAACGTGAGTAGTTCATACAGCAGCTCAAATTGATTCTGAGTAAATCACACTTTTTCCTGTGTTCATCCATTCATTCACAGATTGCTGCGATATCAAAGCAAGACAGTAAGAAAGAAACTCAACATATTGAGTATATATTCAGGATGTTGATTAAGTCTTCTATTGTTACAGGTATTTCATTGTTTTATGTAGTGTTAAATTCTAGCAAATAAAAAAAATGTGGCAGAAAAAAAACCCCAGAACAACCCTTTGTGTTGTGTTGTTTGTGTATTGCAAAAGTAACAAACCTATAAATTTCTGTTTCAGTGGCTGTGAGATTTTGTAAAAGTGTTCTTGGAGGATGTCCTGGGTTCAGCAGTAGCAGTCATTTTTCTCCTTCTTAGTAGCTGGTGCAGTGCTGTGGTTTTGACTTTCAGCCTGGGAACAGCATTGATAACACCGATGTTTTTAGTTGTTGCTCAGTGATGTTTACTCTGACCAAGGACTTTCTGAGTCTCATGCTCTGCCAGGGAGGAGGGGAAGCTGGGAGGAAGCAGAGACAGGACACCTGACCCAAAGTAGCCAAAGGGGTATTCCATACCACAGCACATCATGCCCAGTATATAAACTGGAGGCAGTTACCCAGAAGGGGTAGATCACTGCTCTTTCGGACTGGGTATCAGTCGCCTGGTGGTGAGCAGTTGTATTCCCTTCCCTTGCTATTTTCCTTATCATTATTATTATTGGTGGTAGCAGCAGTGGTTTGTGCTATACCTTAGTTACTGGGCAGTTCTTATCTGAACCCATGGGAGTTACATTCTTTCAGTTCTCCTCCCCATCCCTCCAGGAGCAGGGGGGAGGACAGGGGGAGTGAGAGACTATGTGATTCCGAGTTACTGACCAGACTTAAACCACAATACAGGGTGTGGAAGGTAACTTCTTGACCCAATTGGTGCGTAAGCCACCTAGGGGAGATGCCTGGCAAGATTTGCTGTTCACAAATGGAGAAGGACTGGTGGGTACTGTGATGGTTTGAGGCTGTCTTGGGCAAAGCACAATAGCTGTTTCTAAGAACTTTTTTTCAGAGGTAATTGAAACTTCCTTAACAATATGATTATGCATGGTTTTTAATGTTAACTAATTATTTCTTATTTTGCATTATTCCCTGATAGAAAGTATTACTATTAATGTGCAGACCAGAAGCAAACATATTCCATGTCCTAGTTTCAAGTATTTCTGGTTATTTTAAGAATTACTGTAAGTTACAGTGTCTCTTAATTGCTTTTGTTTGAAAATAATGAAGTTGTTGAATAGTTCCAACAGGAAGGACTTGTAAGCTTTTTAACTTACAAAATGGTGTTTCATTTTCTTCTTAAAAGTTATGTCAGTACAGGAGCTGGACCAGTATTTAGAGGTATTTCCCTGCTCCCCCCCAGAGAAACACCAGCAAAATAACTCCACTGGAACACCTGGTTATTTAACTGAATTTACAATGATTTTGTTACATCCAAGTTCATTTTTATAGAGTGCAGGGCACTGTTCTTTCAAGAAAAGCCTGCACATACTGACAGTTAAGCTGCCTGAAATTTTCTGTAAGTTTTCTTCAAAAAAAGTATTAATGTTTATTCAGAGGTATGTAAAAATACATACAACTTTATGTGTTTTCTCACATATTTGATTCAGTTTTTACATGTGCTGTTAGTCAAAAGTTATTTGCAGATGCTACATATGTATTTGATTTGAAAATACTTGGAATTTGTAGTGGTTAAGAATTAAGAATGTGGGGTCCATGTCAAAATACTATCTTCTCTCAGAGTAAATAATATTTTTATGATCAGGGTAAGTTTCTGGTTTAGACAACTACTTTCTTACCTAATGACTGACATACATAAATATGAAACTTCTTGCCTGCAGTAACAGCAGCTGTTATTATGACAAGACTATGGTGAAAACAGAAGTACACGAATTACAGAAATAAACGGAGACAGGGTAAGTTTATTGAAAGTTTTTTAATCTGAAGTTTCACATATTAAGATTTGAAATATAGAGCTCTCTCTTCACAGCATAATAGTAGAATCAACTTTTTTGTTAATACTTTAATGTGGTCATTTAGAATTTTATGTCAGTCTCAGACTTGTATTTCAGTCATTTGGTCTTCAAGGCTTTGTAGTAAAGCTCCTGACAAAACAGCAGTATTCTCAAGGCCTGTTGCAGACTGGCTCAGCTATGGAAGACTTAATATTAAATGCTGTTTATGTTGAAAATATACAATACAGACATTTGATAGCTATTTATACTTTTTTTTTCTACAGACATAACTTGTATCAGTAAAATACTAGTGGCTTTGGGACCCAACTTGCTAAAACACAGCTTGAATTGCCTGGTCCAATATGAGAGATCACAACTTACTGAATTGTAGGGAGAAAGACAGTTTTTCATCTGACTTAAAACAGGTAAGTAAGTTCACTAGGATCCTAAGGAGGTTTATTAGTTTTTTGTTATGGGTGAATCTATCCATGGGAATTTAAGCTCTTGCCTGCCAGCAGCACTGCAATGAAGCTTAATACATGTTGCCTGTTCTTTTAAGAAAACAGTACTAGGTTCTGGTAAGTCCTGGTGAACAGGAATACAGTATAAATAAAAATATGTACAATAACTTTTAGAATTTTTAATGTGGTTCTTCAAACTTAACCCGTACTGTTATAACTTGAGACTTTTATTGCATAGTAAGAGATCCTCAGATTAACTGCTAAAATGACACAACAATAAACGGAGATGCAAACCTGCAAATTTGTACTAAGAATGTAGGCAAATGCAAGAGTATGAGTCACATTTCAAAGTACCTTAACTTCTTTGGGAAACACACAGTATTAAAACTGCATGAAATATTATGCATAGGTAACTTTTAGCAAGTATGACAGTACATCAAATGAGAAAAATACCTTTTGGATGTATGAAAAGAGAAACATTTTATCTGCATAAACAACTAATTTGTGCAGTTTCAAATTTAGACTTGGAAGTGGAAGATTTCTCCTAACTAAAATAATTTGGGTGATAATGAAAAGACAGATTGTTTAAGCAAGATCACAGGCAAAACCCAAGCCTGAATTCAGAAAGGCACATGGAATGCAGCAATATGAGCTGAAAATACAGCACCCAGTAAGATTACAGCAGGAATTCTCTTAAGAAATATTCTGAAAGGTAGATAAGCATTTAGCTATTCTCTACATATAGTTTTTCTTATGGTCAGAAAGGGAGGCACGCTGCATTTCATTATGCCAACAAAATAGTTAATGAAATAGGGCCACTTCAATGGCATTTTCAAGTATATCTCATCTTACTCTATCTTAACCATACAAACTAAAGCAGCAAATAAAAATCACATTTTCCTTCTCTGAAGCACAGGAGAGGTATGATTGTTTGGTATTTATTTAGAATTCCCAGTCTGTATCATCTTGATTTGCAGTAATATGTCCAAGTTCAGTCCCAACTGTTGTTGAGGGCAGTGCCAAGAACTCTGATCTGTTATTTTGAATAGGAGGTGGTAATAGAGACAGTAGTGAATTCTGTGTTTGTTCTTTTATCTAGAAAGAAGAAAAGTTGAAACAAGGCTGCACATAAAAGTCTACACAACCTTGCATCTGGCTTCATTAAGAGCATGTCAAAATCACAGCCATGTTCTTGCATGTTACAATACTGAAAATAATAGGATGAGGGTTTTAGTTTTCTTCACTCTAGAGTAAGTTGAATTAGTCTTTGAAGACTAATTAAAATAGCTATGCAGTTTTTTCTGCTTTAAATTAAGAATATTAACCATTATTCTTAATAGTTAACTGTCTTTAGTTAAACCAACTTTATCAAAGGGAAAATGGATCACTTATGCTTGCCATACTCTACCAAATACCATTTTGTTTAAAAACAAAAAAATGTAGTCTGAAGCAGATATGCTGTTACAGGATGGTTTTTGGCTCCAGCTAACTTAATATTTTGTAATCCAACTCTTAATATTTTGTGGCTTATTTAGGCTATAGCTGTGTCATTTTACAAAATATAGTAAACTCACCTGTCTGAAGAACGTATGCGAAAGCAAACTGCTTGCTGATGGCCTGGATCATAAAATGAACAATATAATTATGTTTTTGAAAGTAAATTCTGCTTCTGGAAAATGGGCCAGTCTCACAGATCAATTTAAGCCCTGTGTATTTTCATCCACAAGACAAATGTGAAGCATGAGAAAAGCAGCACAGGATTCCAACATTCTATGCCTCAATTTGTAGTGAAGACACTACTAAAGAAATTATTTCAAAAGGCTTTAATGCCTCATTCAGAAGAGACAGTACTGAAAACATATACTTCAGATTTCTGGTTTCTTCTTGGACAAAGTATGTGTTTAAAAATTAATTCTACTTGTTACAGAGTACACTTATATGACAAGAAATTCAGGCGTCAAACAACTTTAAAAGCATGGTTCCTTTAACAGAAAAGGTAATTCTTAAATTACAAAACCAAGGTAAGTGTAGTGTTTTGCATAGTACCTTCTGGTCTGAAATTCTAACTTGAACAGTATTCAACTAACCACTGTATCCTAAGTTGTGGGCTGTGCTTAGTCTTGATTTAGATTGAAACGACAGAAAATTAGTTTTTACCAGAATGTTACCTTTTCTCAGGATCCTGTTGCAAGCAGAGTTCTACCAAGTTGTGGAAAGCAGGTGAAAATGTTTTGGAAAAGGGAATTTGTAGTCTTTCACTGGTCATTGTGCGTGTCATGCTCTCACCAATTCCAGAATCAACACCTGACCGGGAATTCTTTATCCTGGATTCCCCACGGGGAAATGTATTTATATCCCAAGGACAGTATGTGGGACCTTTCAGCTTTTGCAGCAGCATCTAGTAGAAAGGAATAGCAGTATAAGAGTTCAAAAGCTATCCAGACCTATTCAGGCTAAGATGTGAAACTCCAGTAATGGAAGGAATTACTTGATCTAAAAAGAAGCATGTGTACTTGAAGTAACAAAAACCAGCCACCATTTCAGCAGGAATATTACTGGTTTCTCTGAGTAAGACAAAAAAACCTCAGTGTTTTGAAGCAGAAATAGAATTTATCATCGTACCTGAGTGCGAGGCATATCTTGAAATGGAACATGTCCATTGGCTAATTCACATGCTGTAATTCCTACACTGTAAATGTCAGACTTCATGTTATACCCAGATAAATCCTGTGAGAGAAAGAGACCTCTGCTCGATCACTAATGCCATTGAGCAATGCTGACAAAAAGACAAATGTCTGTTTCAAGGCAAGATTCTAATACCCTGTTATCTATATGGGATTATCTAGAGGATGGATTGAAAAATTAAGTGTAATTTATACTAACCTGTCTCAGTAATTCAGGACTCAGCCAAGGAAGCACAGATGTACTAAACTGGGGGAAATCATATACCACCTTTGACTTTTGTCCATTGTTGACTAAACTGTAGAGGTTGTTTAACCCAGAGAGAGAAACCAGCCCATCCCCTGAAATCAGAATGTGGCTAGCTTTAATATTCCTGTAACATAAAGTGGTAAATTTTAGTTATAGGAATTACTCAAAGCATTACTAGAGTAGAAAGGCTTTCATATTTAATTAACTTATAATAAGATGTTAGTGTGCAGCTCTATTTAACAGATTATGTTCCTAGAAGTTCTTTATTCAGTATGAGTTATCTTTTTAATATAGCCCCAAGAAAGAGCAGAGATTGGAGGAGTAAGAGGAGGGAGGAAAGGCAACCAGAAGAAAGGGCCCTCTTTCCCTGCAAAGGGTATAAAGTAAGGAAACCCCTTCTTGTGGAGACAGTGTTCGCATGGGAGAATGGATAATAGGTAAATAAACTCTGAATAATACCCAAATATACAGCAAGGCCATGAGAGGCCCAAGGAAGCTTAAGCAAGCAAGATAAGAAGAAGCCGGAATTCACCGAGTTATGAGAACTGTGGACTGTTGGCAAGCTTTTGAGGTCAAGTTCTCACACCTGTGCTTAATCAATTATATGTTAGTCACTAAGGGTCTTCAAGACATGTATCCAATCATAATATGCCACATCACTGTAAGTGCATCTAAGAAATAGTATATAAGGAGTTAAGGCTTTGCAATAAATGGCTTTTGTATGATCATATTGATTTCTGACTGAGTCCATATATATATATATTCTGCAGCATTTCTACAACTCTGATTCTTTTCTGCTTCAGAGAGACAAAGCCAAACAGATGTATAATCCCTGCAGCAACTTGCTTTAAGTAATGTATGAATACTGTTCTTGCTAAGCTTCTACAAGCTTGGTTCTGCTCTATTATTGAAAAAATATTTAAAAAAAATGGTTCTGCACTGTCTCATGTAAGAAGGTATATAGAAAAAAGAAGGAGACAACACTAGCTGAAAATGAGTTTTGAAGCAAATCTGAACTCTTAATAAACTCGATGCTGTAATCTGATTCTTACCTATTGACATTCTCCTACCTGTGAATGTAGCCATTCTGGTGCATGTAATTTAACCCTCTGATTGCACCAAATAGAATGTTCCCTATCAAAGCTTCACTCATTCCTTCAGGAAAATAAGTCTTCAGGAGGTGTCTAGCTGAACCTGGAAGTAAAAAAAGCTAGCTAAGCCTAACAAGTCTTGTTAAATGACTCCTTTGTGCTTGCTTCCTTGTATACATTCATCAAGAGTGGCATTCTCATTGCTACTTTGACTGTGGGATATCAAGAACAGTTACATGCCTCCATCACGCAAAGATCACATTCCAGTCATCATCAAACCTGTATTCAATCTAGACAAGTTTTCTGTTGGCAAAATCCAAAGCTGTATAAGTCAAATAAGTTTCCCAATTACCATTCCTCATGTGGCGGGTGTTAGGACTAAGTGCAATTTAATGCAGTTCAAATACCAGTCTTCACTGGGAAAGATTTTGTACAGAAGACTTCTCTAAAAAATGGTTTGGGAAGCTTGTTTTTTCTACAAGACTGTAGATGCTTTAAGAAAAACCTGTCATGGACCATGTGGCCAAAATTGTATCCACCTTTTTTACTATTCCAAAATTGCAGTTAACAGTTCTTACCATAGGCCATGAATGGGGAGATGACCCAAAGCCAACTACCAGCTGTAAATACTGTCCAAAGCGTCATTACATTGGGATGCTGGAAAAAGTGGGATAAAACCACTTCATTCTATGGAATTAAATGAAAGTGGATGTGTTACCAACAAGACAACAGTCTTAAGAGCACTAACTACGTCAGCAATCAGTAGAAAGAACTGTTCCCTGTGTGAATTTATACAAAGTTGCAGGTGATGTACATAGACTGCAGGAGAAATGTAACTAACTTGCCTATAATTGTATTTGTCTGAAGTAAATCTAGTTTGCTCATAGGCCAAAGTTTTAGTGTAAATACAGAGTACAGAACACGTTTCAAAGGAAAGGTTGTACAGTTACAGAATTATTTCTAAAACACTTGTCAACTGTTTTCTTCAGAGAGCAACTCTCAAATTTACACATGCCTTCTGTTTATATTCTACTCCATTGGAGGAAAAACTTGACTGAAATGAGACAGTACAAACACAAAGGCTACATCTGTTAGGAACCTCATATAAATTCATCACTGTCTTCACCAGACTTGTGCAGAAATGCTGCTGCTTTACCTGTAAGGCTTTCAAATGCTCTTCAGAACAATTTTCTAGGTCTGTGATCCTTACAGCAACTTGCATGCCTGTAGGCGTATGCCGTGCAAGGTAGATTGAAGTTAAGTTGTTGAACCTCCTTCCTGAAACCAGAAGTGGCTACCTTAACATTGGAAAATATAATAATCCACCAAAATTTCCTTCGTATTTAGAGAAAATTTTATATTTCTAAAACTGCAATTGATAGCAGCATTGCCTTTTCTTTAAGCATGTTGAGAACTTAAGTAGTTGCAGCAGAATACATCCAGCAATTCTTACAACAACTTAAAGTATTGAAACACTTTTCAGTATCAGTTATACATCTAAACTAACAACACTTTTAGCATGCATATTCACATAAACATATGCATGCACAGTAGGACTGAGGGCAGCCGTCCTTAGGACAATCACCTCAGGTAGCCAAGTGACAAGACATGATGTTACTTAATGCTGTATTTATTGTCAACATAATACAGATTTAGAAAATTGACATGCACAAACATCAAGAAAAAAAAACCCCAGGTAATTACTGATTTTTATTGATATCTTAAAACAGGGATCACAAACATAAGAAATGTTCTGCACTTTTGTCAACTAAAAAGACACAAGAATAGTTTTAGTCAGCTGATAATACATTTTCCAACTTAGTATTTACTGCAGTTAGCAATAACCTATTGAGAGCATGCATCTGCAGGCACAAGAAATATTTTAAGGTATGCTTATTTTACCTATTTGCAGCTGGAGTTCATAGTGAGAGACATTAGAAGAGCAAAATAACATTTCATTCCTTCCTGTAGATGGGGGAATCCAGGCTAGATCAGAATCAGCCTAAAAGTGAGGAAAAACAGTTCTCAAAATGACTATGTAATTTTAAATATTTACATGTTAACACAGAAATACCAGTAATTAAAATGCTAAGATCAAGTCTTCAAGTTGCAACATACAAGCTGTTGCTTCTACCCTTACACTGAGACGCAGTTTTATGAACTACTTGTTTTGCCTGTGTGTGTGTTAGTTTTTAAAGGGGTACAAGATTGAGAGTAATACTTTGTTACCTATAGTCTTCTTCCAGAATGAAAGTCCGGAGGTACTCTGGTTACTTTTGCCATTAACATTTTAAGAAGTACCTCTAATAAGATTATTTTTAATATGTACCAGCTTCATATTTCACGCTGCCACTTAACGTTTCTGTTTTCTCCTTACCAGGCATTCATGGATGCTGCTCTCAGATAGCTCTTCTGGTCTGATTGATTCAACTGGTGTACGTAGAATACAGGAACAGTCCTTAAGAACAGAAATAAGTGAATGTTACTGGAGTTGCTGCAATTTATTAAATGCAGCCACAGGAAAACATCAAAAAGTAACCCTATAAACAGGAGTTCAGAAAGATTTCTGCTACAAGTCATTCAAGCAAGAGGTTAAAAACCAGCATAGAATACATACATGGCAGATCTAGGGAGGAGAGATACTGAACAGTCTCCTTCAGCGAAAGTCAATACAACGTTTAAATACCTCAGCACTGTGGAAATCCCCTCAAGCAAGGCATTTCACCAGAACTTTTTCACATTAAAGTATGACTGGGTAACAAGGTACAAGAGCTAAAGGTTTTTAAATACAAGCTTACCAAACAAGACATGGAACCGCTTTAGATCAGGGGAAAAGACATACACACCCATTTATCCTAGAAAAAATAAAGTAGCAATGTAAAATTGTATATAAACCTGTCATAAATGTCTCTAATCAGAACTGTGAGGCATTCCAGTTGGTTAACACACACAAAAAAGAACCCCCAAAACTACAGCTCTGGGAAAGCCTGCTTCTGCAGCTATATGCTTTAAGCAGCATATAGATTAAGCAGCATATAGCCTTTAAGCAGCATATAGATTTCAAACTCCATACTGAGGATATGCAGTATATATTCAAACTCAAGCCTTCCTTTTTGATTCATGGGTTTAGAGGTGTTATTACCACTTCTGAACAGGCAATTTAATCGCAAGTTAACTGCATAACTGCAAAAAGTAAAACTGAATGGAATAATGAATTGCTATCAGTTTGTAGGAAAAGAAATCACTGTCTGTTGTTTTAAAGAAGCAGAGTTGTGCTAGAGAGATCTCGGCTCAGCTCTGTGCAGCTGAACTACCTCACAAAAGAAAAACCTACCCAAAAGCAAATGCACTTTACATTTCACAAGTGAGAGAGAAAATACTATTGTAAGGGACTTGACTGAAGAAAACAAAAGGGGGAAAAAGAAAAAAAAAGAGGGGAACCAACTCTGATAATTTTCACTCCACTTAGGGCACAGAATCAGCATTCAAACACCCTTACGCATCACAGTAGCCACTCTCAAAGTCCTCTATCAGACCTTATGTCTGATGCTTTGAAAGTTTACACAGTAAGGAGAGAGAGAGATGACTATGTCCAATAAGCATATCAAGTCTTCTGAAGCATAGAAAGGACTAGTTAATCTACTTTAGCTACAAGCAAGTCTCTTTCCGTAATGGATCCTACCTGGTGGCTGATATAAGTGATAAAGTTCCATGTTAATATGCAATTATTGCGTGAAAGTTAACTTTCAAAAGGTGAAATAGTATATCAGAAACTGATCATTTTGTTTATCAAGGAGCTAAGCTTGATTATATCCCACATTTATGTATGCTATGTAATCAAGGCAATACTTTTAAAAAGCTAACAAGCTCCCACCCACTGCCAAATATCCCAGCCACTCCTAATCCTTAATATTTTTACCCTGAAAGTCTGTTTGAAGTAAAGAAATACTGTAATTTCTTATTAAAGATAACAAATGGAGACAAAAGGAGATCCTTAATAAGTATTGGGCACCTTCAGAGGATCAGGACTTGACTTACCCAACTTCACTGAGGAAGTGTGGCAGAGTACAAAAGAATAAATGCAGGTGCTTCAAGATACTGTCCAACACTGTAATGGCTGCAGCATCCTACCTGGAAAGAAATTCCATTATACAAGATAATTTATTCTGTTTCTTGGAATATGAAACCACAAAAGCTAAGGTGAAGAACAGTGTCATAATAGCTATATAAACTGAGTCAAATCATAGTAGAATTTGTTTAAAGGGGTATCGCCAGCCAACAGAATCACCCATGTTCCACAACTGTTCAAGTAACATTATAAATGTAAGATTTTTATTTTTCTTACTTAGTTTAACATTGCTTCCATTTTTAATACGGTTTTGGATCATGTCTCTACATAAATCTTTTCCCCATTTCCCATTTTTCTTTCTGTACTGCAGGCTTTTTGATTTTTTTTTGTCCTGCAGATAGTGACGGTATTGCACAGCTGAACTCGCACATTCATCCCAGCTTAGCCAAAGCTTCAAATGCAGTGAGAGATACAGGGGAAAAAGAAAACCCGAAAACCATGCCTGTGAACCGGGGGAGTGCGGAGGCTCTGGAGCCCAAAGCCCACGTACCGCGAACGCACGTTACTCCGGTTCTGCTGAAGCCGAGCAGCTCAAGTCTACTTAAGTGTTTGGAGCAACGGAGAACTCTCGATCGTGTATCTCGAGTTAGATGATCCGTCCGTGACAGAAGTAACGGAACGCGAGAGACCGACTCCCCGCGGCTCTCCCAGCAAAGCTCCTCATTGCTCCGTTACACCCGCACTCCGCGCCGAACCCCTTCCTCCCTCGCCAGGCGCCCGTTTAAGGTTGTCCCCGCCTCTCCACTCTCTCCCGCGGCTGCCGCGATCGGGATCCGCCGCCGCTCTCCTCAGCCGGCTCTCGAGCTCGGCGTGCTCCGCTCCCCCCTCCCCGGCCCGCCTGGCTTCCCCCGTCGCCGTGCTGAAGGCGCGGCTTGCCCGGAACCCTGGCGTGCCGAGGAGGCCCTGCAGGGAGGCAGGGCCCGATCCTACTCGCCGCCGCTGCCTGAGGCTGGAGTCAGCGGCCGGCTGGCCCGCCGATCCGATCCGCCAGCCCGGAACCCCGCCCCGCTCCCAGCCCCTGCAGAGCCGCTGGGGGTATGGGCAGCCGCCCGCGCCAAGCGGCCCGGCGCATTGTGGGGCTCGTAGATTGCGCCGGAGGGAGGGAGGGCGGGCGGCCCTTCGGCGCCGCGCGGTGAGCTGGGGGCTGTAGTTCGGGGGCTGGAGCCGGGCGGAAGCGATCGGCATCCATCCTCAGTCGCTGACTTATTACATGCGGGGCTATCGCCCGTCGGCCTCGGGTAGCGGCGGGGAGGAGGAGCGCCGGAGGAAGCGCGGGGCGGGTAAGAGGTGCTCGGCGGGTAGCTCTGTAGCCCCAGGGATGAGGGAGCGTACTGCCGCCTCTCTGCCACACGCGTTAACCCCTTCGGTGCTGCGTCCTTCAGCCGCTCTCCCTCAGGGCCGTTCCCAGCTGGGCCGCGGCACCTCCCACGCTCCCCTGGGGAAATACTCTGCGCCGTGCCTGCATAAAGAATTCTTATTCCGTCCGTGTGTTGCAGCTGACGAAGCTCTTTTCACGGTGGTAAGGTAGACTGGTAGTACATTAAGCTTTATGCTTTCAATATGTGTGCTTAGATAGGAGTCAGATGCTAGGCTTTGGCTGCGCATGATGGCTGTGGCTGCAGGCGCGGTGGCGGCGTGACCTTCAGCGAGCTCCGGAGTTCCTTCCTGCCTTGGGAGTACCCATGGCCGTATGGGCTGTCCTTGCAGGATTCTGTCACCGCTCTTAGGAGGCAAAGCTTGATGACATTTTAGTTGTGGTCCTGCTTACATATGGATTTAAGGGCAAGGAGATGTTGGCTTCTGTCAGCTGTTTAATCACATTGTTAGATTCGGATCAGCTGATTAAACTGTAGTAAGACTATCAGTAAATGTCTTCTGTCCTGTCAACTGTCCTAGTGAAAAAGTCCTGTCGTGTTGCATCCTTGGGTTTTGGTGATTTGCTTTTCGTTTTTAATGCAATCTTTAGTTGTGGGCTGTTGCATATGTGTTTGGTTTTTGGCTGTGTTTCAGTTACTGTTGACTGATTGCAAGAGTCTGATGCAAATAGTATAACTTTTCACACAACTATGCATTTTAGGTCTTCTTTCAGATACTTGTTAGCTTTTAAAAGATGTATTTCTGAGTAAAAATAGATAGACTTCCCTAATTACATTTACACTGAAGCTAAATTGGGGGGAATCAAATATATGAAATTTGTGAGCTCTAGTGGTGGTGTCACCTATTAGAGATTAGTAATCAGTGTATCAGGTTTCTATTATGAGTATCTGAAAATGTGGCTTAATGAGTAGAGTGTTGGAAAATCACGGACTTTTTCTGATGGTGGTTTGCATCTAATAAGGGGCTTGAATTAATCTTGTGTAGTAGGAATCTTTCAGGAATGATAAATGTAATTCATTGATTATTTTTGCAAGAAGATACAAATGTAGCATTTTCACAGAGTTGGTTACAAAAGAAATGACAGATCCTTTTAGCTAGTTAGATTGCTAGTGATACTCTGGTGACTGAGATCTGCCTGGTTTATTCTATTAAGTACAGAATTGTAACTGTTAAAAGATTGGGCACTAGCTGGGGTATATCTTAAGAAACTTAAGCTACTTCCTTGAGTGAATTCAGCTATGCATCAACTGGAAGTATTAATGATTTCAGTTAGCTTAAATGTTATTTTAGTCCACTTCAACTATATAGAGAACAAGCTTCAACTTCAGCTATATAGAGAATAAGCTTCAACTTTAAAAGAAGCTTATAACAACCTTTATAATGAAATAATTGCACACCACTTGCCTCAAGAGTATATATTACTTTTTTGTACACTCTAGCCAACAAATGCTCAATTAATGACAGTTCTTTATTTTGTGAAAAAAATACCCAAAAGATTGGTTCCCCTGTGATTGTAACATTACTATATGTATACATCTTTTCTTGCAGGTTCTTTTTCTCCAGAAGAAAAAATTCTACCTGAATGAAAGCATGTACAACTGTAGCAATGTTAGGAGCGTGAATTTATGAAATAGAATTAGGAGTTAATAAAACTTGATATGGGTATTTCATGTAGGTAGCCTTCATAGTTTCAATGTTAGACCTCAATTAAGCATATGCTATTTTTACACTGCATACTAAACGTAGTGTAAACAATTTCCAACCATGTAGGACTTAAAAAGTCTTAACCATCAAGCAGTGGTATTCAACAGTGTGCATATATACATAAAGCATATATACATGTACTTAACAGGTAGTTTTGCCACTTATGGAAACTATGGGTTACTGCAAATGACCGACAAGGAGAAAAAGTGAGCCTGGTTTGGCATAAGTTTGGATAAATAGGATGAAGGAATCTTTTCGGCCAGCTTTATGACCCCCTTGATAGTCATCGTCCTCTAAGAAGTGTTTATGGCTTCATTTTTGTTTTGTTTTCTTACAGTTCCTTTCTTATACCATTCTATTTGTGATTGAAGGTCTGTTGCAGGTTTGCTTATGATTATTACACTTGTTATTAGGATTGTCTTGGCATACTCTTTTAAGTGACGCTTTTTTTTTTTTTCCTTACATGAGAGAAACTCAAGCACTAAGTGGGTTTCTGTAGGGATAGTAATGGCTGGAAATAATAGGTCTGAAGCACACAGCAAGTGTTAATTGTGACAGACAAAGTTTGTGTTCACATAGATTTATTTTTTTTGGCATATAGTCCTTTGTCCTTCATCTCATATAATATAGTGTTGAAGGATTTGGCCTCTGCTTCTGAACACTAGTCACAGGAATGTTTTGGCAGCAACTCAGCATGGTCATGTTTGCTATGAGAATAGAACTGTTTTATTAACCTTGAAATGCTAAATATGTTTATTGTTAT